TTTGGACCGTCAGATTACAGCCGCCGTTTACCCTATTTTTTATATCATGTTGAGTTATCTCTTTCAAGAACATCTATTTCATTTCTATCCTCACGGGAACCTTTCCACGCTCTACCAATATTCGCTACAATGTTTTATCTCGCGTGACGAGCGGTGTGTTTAAGGCAAGTAAAGATGCGCCCATAGTTTTTGGCGTTTAGAGCATCCTCATATAGATAGGTTCTTTCTGAAACAATAACCTATGGTTATACTACCAAAGCATCCATCTACAGCTGCGGAAACTGTTATTTTGTCTATTTAAAATAGAATATTACAAAAAACCAGTACACCTAGCCAACACGATCCATTTGCCTGGGTTATTTTTTGTGCTACAAAAAATGAGGCTTGATGGTTACGTAGAAGGTTACAAGAGACAAAGTCCCAGCAGTAGCGGTCATACTATTGAAGAGCCGAGTGTTATCCATCCATACCAGGCGTAAAAAGCGTTCGTTCTGAAAAGAAACAGATGCCAGGCCAACTGAACTCGTTTATGTTTATTATGTCTCAAGTGAGATCTCATCTACAATCATATCCATGTCCAACAAATATGAACTTCCTTTGGAATTTTGGGTTCTTATTAGGAATCTCTTTTGTAGTACAAATTGTTACAGGATTACTACTAGCATCTAGATATACTAGTGAAATGTCACATGCTTTTGCTAGTGTACAACATATTATCAGAGAGGTGTCTTTCGGTTGGGAATTTAGATTCCTACACGCTACTGGAGCATCATGTGTTTTCTTATGCTTATTCCTTCATATTCTTAGAGCTCTAGTTATTAGTAGTTATACATACTTAAGTCTAACATGGATTACAGGATTAATTATTTATTTTATTTCTATTGCTACAGGATTCTTAGGTTATGTATTACCATGGGGTCAAATGAGCTTCTGGGGTGCTACTGTAATTTGCAATCTATTATCACCAATCCCATACCTTGTAACATGGTTACTAGGAGGTTTCTATGTAGACAGTCCTACATTAAAAAGATTCTTTGTACTACATTTTATATTACCTTTTGTAGCTCTTGTACTTGTAGTATTACATATTTTCTATTTACACCTAAATGGATCTAGTAATCCATTAGGTACAGAAACTGCATTAAAAATACCATTCTATCCTCATATGTTAAGCACCGATGGTAAAGGATTTAATTATCTAATCTTATTCCTATTAGCCCAATCATTCTTTGGTCTAATTGAATTATCTCATCCAGATAATAGTATACCTGTAAATAGATTTGTAACACCATTACAAATTGTACCAGAGTGGTATTTCTTAGCATATTATGCTATCTTAAAAGTTATTCCAAGTAAAACTGGAGGTCTATTACTTTTCGTAGGTAGTATTCTATTATTACTACTTCTAAGTGAAGTTCGTTCACTTACTAGTGTAATAATCTTACGCCAACAATTCTCTTCAAGAAATTGTGCAACATCTTGGAGTATTATATATATTTATTCTTATATTGCTCTTATTATTGTTGGAGCTCAATTACCTCAAGAAGTATTTATTTCCTATGGTAGATTCTTTACCGCAATCTATCTTTTAAGTACATTTAGCTTTTTCAAACTTTAAATAGTTCTTAATTTTAAAAAATTTCAACAATTATATATGAATTATAGTATCTTAACCTGCTGCAAACCATAAAGAATTAGGTATTTACTATGTATGGTTTGCTTTTCTTTTTTCAATTGTAGGTACATTACTTTCAGTATTAATTAGACTTGAACTAAGTTCCTCTGGATTACGTATTATTGCATTAGAAAATCAAAATTTCTATAACCTAGCATTTACACTACATGGTGCTATTATGATTTTCTTTGTAGTTATGCCAGGTTTATATGGTGGATATGGTAACTATTTCTTACCAATATATCTAGGAGCATCAGAGGTAGCCTTTCCTAGAGTTAATTGTGTATCACTGCTATTAGTACCAATTGCATGGGTTATAGTAAGCACTTCATTAATCTCTGAGTTTGGATCAGGTATTGGTTGGACATTATATCCTCCATTAAGTACATCCTTAATGTCATTATCTCCAACCTCAGTAGATTTAATTGTATTTGGTTTAGCTCTATCAGGTATCTCTAGCTTTTTATCCTCTGTTAATTTCTTAACTACAATTGCTGTATTAGGTGTTACAAATGGTGCAAAACCATGGTGTTTATTTACTTGGGCTATTGTCTTTACAGCTATTATGCTAATTGTTACACTACCAATTCTTACTGGTGGCTTACTAATGTTAGTATTAGACTTACATCTAAATACTCAATTCTACGATGCTGCTTTTAACGGTGATCCTGTACTATATCAACATCTATTCTGGTTCTTCGGACATCCAGAAGTCTACATTATTATTCTACCTGCTTTCGGTGTTATATCTCAAACATTATCTACTACTGCAGGTAAATTAGTATTCGGAGGTCCTTCAATGATCTTAGCTATGGGATGTATTACTGTACTAGGTTCATTAGTTTGGGCACATCATATGATGACTGTAGGTTTAGAGACAGATACTAGAGCATACTTCTCTGCTGTAACAATGATGATTGCAATTCCTACAGGTACCAAAATTTTCAATTGGTTAAGTACTTATATGGGAAATCCATTTAGTACAATTTCATTAGATATCTGGTATGCTCTAAGTTTTATTTTCCTATTTACTCTTGGTGGTACCACTGGAGTAGTTCTAGGTAATACTGCTGTAGATGTTGCTCTACACGACACTTACTATGTAATTGCCCACTTCCACTTCGTATTATCTCTTGGTGCAGTTATTGGATTAATCTGTGGGTTCTTCTATTATCAAGATTCAATGTTTGGTTACACAGCTAATGTATTTACTAGAAATACTTCAGATTCTCCATATCTAAGAGTATGGTCTATTGTATTCTTATTTAGTATTTTACTAACATTCTTACCAATGCACTTATTAGGATTTAATGTTATGCCACGTAGAATTCCTGATTATGCTGACTATGTAACTTATCTGAACACAATGTGTTCTATTGGTTCTATTAGTACTGTATTTATATTATATTCCTTAATTTTCTAAAAAAAGAGTTGACCGTGAAATCCATACAAAGATAAAACGGGAGATAGATAAAACATGTTACTCTATCGGTAAAAAGGTACGCCGGGGATAACAGGTCGTAGAATTTCAGGAGCTCTGATCCTTGAATTCTATTAACACCTCCATGTCGGCTCATCACACCCTTGTACTTGAAGAAGGTTCAAT